TTACTTTTTAATAAACAAAGTATCAGCTTTAAAATTATGCCAAATTCATAACGAAATTCAAACAATAAATACAGTTTTGCGCTCTTTAATGCGGCAGGCGCGATCGCTTTAGCGCCTCAGTTCAAGCGGCAACTGAACCCATTTGATCTTTCTCTTTACTACTATAGTACATACTGAACATGAATTAACATCAAAAGGTAGGCTATTTTATAAGAAAGCCTACAGTACAACTTATTGAAATGTCTCGTGTAAAAGCTCATTCAGTGTTTTAAACTGAGGAAAATGTGTAAAGCTTGTAAACATTGCAACGTAATATACATTTACCTCAGAAGAATAACCATTCAGCATCTATAAGCTCATCAATCAGCTAGAAAAACAACTATAAAGAGGAGCATTTTGCTATATTTATGCGCTATTGCATATTAATATTTTTACTTAACCTGTTGTCTACATAAGAAAGAATGCAAGAAGCGAAAAAAAATATTCAATACCTCCTATATAATTGATAACCATTTGGTGTCCATAAGCTCATCAGTCAGCTAGAAAAATAACTATAAAGAGGAGCATTTTGCTATATTTATGCGCTATTGCATATTAATATTTTTACTTAACCTGTTGTCTACATGATTCAACTCCTCCTATAAAACGGCATTTATCTAATTAAGAAAAACAGACTGAAAGTGTGAAAGACATACACTCTTAAAAATAAAGGTGCTTAAAAGGTTCTTCATAGAAGCATTTTTGGTTCAACAAAGAACCATTCAGTCAAAGGTTCTTTAAAGAACCATCTCTTTCTCAACTTTTTATAATCTGAAGAACCTTCTTTCGCCACAAAGAACCTTTTGTGAAACATGAAGGTTCTTCAGATGTTAAAGGTTCTTTATTAAACCATTTAGTCAAAAAAGGTTCTTCTATGGCATCGTGAAGCACCTTTATTTTTAAGAGTGTATGACAACATTTACAGGATGCATTGAGGAGGAGCCCAAACTACACTCAAGTGGGCAAGTGATGCTTATGGTCCATGATATTGGTACAGATTCTGTGTGATGAACAATTTCTTTGTGACTGTATATTTCAAGTTGGAAAAGACTTTTAGTTCCCACTTTGTGAACCTTAGTTCCCAGGTCATCTACAAGATGGATTAAAATGCTGATAAAGTCAAGAAAAGATGAGACAAACATGACAGTATGATTGAAATGTTAAAATGCAAAAAAAAATAAAAAATAAAAAATAAATAATAAAATAAATGAAACGCGTTTATTCGGTAGCACCTACAAAAATAATTTGGTGCCTATGTTTTTTTCTTATAGGAGCCAATGGCTCCTTACTCTATTTTTTTTGTCTGGAGCCCTGTCATATCTATATTAGCCAGCTAGATAACATTATCTCATCTAAAAATCAACATGTGCAAAAAATGGATGTACGAGATCAGTAGTGGTACGATTTTCAGTGGCAACACAGCACTTTTTGTCAACTCCTTGTTGTTGAGCCCTACACAAACACAAGGGGCAAGAATATAACTTTGTGAATGACATGTATTCAAATACTGCGGAAACCTGCAAAACTTTGCAGATTGTGTAAGAACCTGTTGATTCAGAAAAATGGCCTATATAAATGTTCAGAAATGTTTAAGAAAGGTTACCATTAGCAAGGTATTACGCATCACCTTGGCTCAAATGACTTTCAAGAGACCAGCCAAGACACAACGATTCTGGAAGCATGTGCTCGTGTTTGATGTCAGACACCTCTGGACATGAACTTTTCCAACAGTAACACATACATAAAGACCAGGTGGTTAAGAAAAACAAGATCTGACCTGACTGCCGCCAAGAGTTTACAATCAACAAAGGGAAATGATCTGAATGTAAACCCATGGCCTGCTGTAACCCTTTCCAATACTGCTAATACACAGACTCGCACAGGTCTCATATGTTACAATACTTCAACAAGAGTTGTGTAAATACATGGGAACTGGGGAAGATGGTCTCGAGTCGCCTTGGACAGTTGCGTCATCTTGCTTGTTTTCAAATGGCAAGAGGATGATGCAATGCGCTCCGCAGTGTGTCTGGTCAAGCTTGTGCATAGCAAAGACCTTAGAGTCTCGTCTCAGAGCTGATGAGAAGCAGATGAGAAGTGAAACTTCGCAACATGCAATATAGCACAAGGATGATGTAGTGGGGGGACAATGTTGTCCCAATTAGGGATAGGTCAAGATGATCGACTAGTATTCCAACAACTGACTATTTAATTAGTCGGTTGACCAGTTTATATATGTATGTTTTTATTTTTTTATTTATATTTTTTTGCTAGTTTTACTGTTTTGACAGTTGCACTTTGTAAAACTTCCGATAAGTCACAATTATCTTACAGATAACCCATCGACTAGTCAGTTTTGAAAAAGACAGTTTTCCTCATCAGAAAGCACATGGACATTTACATATCAAAATCTATCAACTTTTTAGCAACTTCGTCCACCCTGATGAACATCACTGTGAGTTTTTTTAAATCTAAATTTTAATTCTAAATTCTGTTTACGGAAATACATGGTAAACGTTATTTATCCATCTATTAACCATCTTCTGTCAGACTTCAACTTTCAACAGTCACATTTACCAGTGTTCAGTGATTTTTTTTGCCAGTGAATTTCCAATCATTTTAACAGGAATTCACAAGATCAGGAATCTTGCATGATTTCCCCATGCAAATTTCGCAATGAGTTCAAGTTGGTAACGTGGTTTGTGTGCTTTATACATAGCTACACTATTACAAAAAAAAAAAGAAAAAACTTTTTGGTCTACAAAATTTTGCAAGAAGAGAATTTTGAAGGAAGAGTTCACCTAAAAATGAAAGTTTGCTGAAAATGTAGCCCATCTAATGTAGACGAGTTTGTTTCTTCATCTGAACAGATTTGGAGAAATTCAGCATTACATCACTGACTCACCAATGGATCCTCTGCAGTGAATGGGTGCCAAACAGCTGATAAAAACATCACAGTAATCCACACCACTCTAGTCCATCAATTAATGTCTTGTGAAGTGAAAAGCTGCATGCTTGTAATAAACAAATGCATCAAGATGTTTTTAACCATTGCTTCTGGCTAAAGTACGAGTCCTCTATCCATAATATTGTTTTCTCCAGTGAAAAAGTTGCCTTGTCTGAATCAGGAGAGAAATATGCACAAATCAAGCACTGTTTACAAGTAAAAACAGTCCAAACGGTTCTAAACAAATATATCGGTGGATTTTGATGTGGATTACGGACTTGCATTTTGATTTGTATTTTTGGCCAGAAGTGACTGTTTAAAATTACAACACCTTAATTATGAAATTGTTTCTTACGAACATGCGGCTTTTCACTTCTCATGATGTTAATTGATGGACTGGAGTGGTGTGGATTATTTGTGGATTATTGTGATGTTTTTATCAGATGTTTGGACTCTCATTCTGATGGCACCCATTCACTGCAGAGGATCCGTTGGTGAGTCAGTAATGTAATGCTGAATTTCTCCAAAATGTTCCAGTGAAGAAACAAACTCATATTGGTGAACTATTCATTTAAGGGTCAGTGAGAGGGTGAAAAAAAATGGACAGAAAAAAAATTTATTAGAAGTGCAGAATATGTCCCCTTAAAAGTCTGTTTCTACATGTACATGTCACTAGACGTGTGTGTGTGTGTGTGTGTGTACCTCTGTGCATGACACGACGGGAGTGCATGTGCTCCAGTGCGCTACACAGCTGAACAAAGTACTTCCATACTGTCTTCTCAGGAATCAGCCGTTTTTGTTTCTTGAAATGCTGCAGGCAATAAACAAATAAATAAATATGCTGTGATGGCAGCACAGATTTTCCATAGACGCATGCAATCTTCGTTAACCAAGAACATCAACGTTTTACTTTAAATGTTTAGCAGTCAAACTGTTCAACCTACCTAAATGACTATTTGAAGCATACAGTTTTTAAGATTTAAGATGTCTTAAGATGAAAAGTGTCTCAAAAGCTCAGCATGGACCCCTGCTACTCTAAAAACAGCACAACAGGATGACCATGAATGTGAAGGGCTCTGGGTTCGACTATAATCTGATGCAGGCTATAGATTGAAACCCCTCAATAAACTTTCTTTCCCTTTTCATTTGGAGCAACTGCAATGGAAAACATCTGAAGTTTGTGAGTACAGCAGGAGCCTCATGGGGAAACAAGCATTTGGGGAGACTTTCAAGATGCACAACAAGCACTGAGAAACGTCTCCATGAATCTGATAGAACGCAATTAAATAACGCCAACAAGATCGTTACATTACAGATGCACAATGGATTGTAACATACAGTGGTGTGAAAAAGTGTTGGCCCCCTTCCTGATTTCTTATTTTTTTGCATGTTTGTCACACTTTAATGTTTCAGATCATCAAACAAATTTAAATAGTAGTCAAAGATAACACAAGTGAACACAACATGCAGTTTTTAAATGAAGGTTTTGAAGGGGCCAACACTTTTTCACACCACTGTAGTAGTTATTGGCTGATATTTGTGATTTTATCAGTCGATACGAAGTATAAATTAGCCAAAAAACTAAAGCTAAAGATCACAGTTTAAATTCAAACCTTAATTAATATTATTTCAAAATACATGGTCAATATATTATTTATCCATCTATTATTAATCTTTTGTCAGACTTTCTGACTGAACTATTCAGTTTGAGCTTGGTAAGATTTGTAATATTTTTGACGGAAGTATCATACTCATTTATTAGATCAAAAATACAGTAATAACAGTAATATTGTGAAATATTATTACAATTTAAAATATTTTTTCCTATTTGAATATATTTTAAAATGTAATTTATTCCTCTGATGCAAAGCTGAATTTCCAGCATCATTACTCCAGTCTTGTGTCACATGATTCTACAGAAATCATTCTAATATGCTGATTCGCTGCTCAAGAAACTTATTATCAATGTTGAAAACAGTTGTGCTGCTTAATATTTTTGTGTAAATCTTGATTTTTTTTCATGATTTTTTTGATGAACAGAAAATTCAAAAGAACAGCATTTATCGTAAATAACATTTTTTTAAATAAAATTACAAACGTCTTTACTGTCACTTCTTGCTGAATAAAAGCATTAATTTATTTTTTTAAAATGAACGGTAGTGTGTATATATGCTTAAATTCACTAAAATACTGTAAAATATTCATTTTATTTCTAACACTGATAATGTGACTTGACTTTCAATCTAGTTCTTTGCGAATACATTATAAGAACAATTCTCTGGTGAATTACCAATGCATTCTATTCAAAGTACCAACTCAAACAAACAATTCACTTATAAATCAGATGAAATATCCGATGCAAGGGTTTTTAATTTTTGTAACTGCACAATTAGTTTCCATGACTGCTGTAAAAGTATCGAAACAAAGATTTTACTGAGAAAAATTTTACAAAACAATCAACCTGACTCTTTTTGCATATTAACATGTTTTTAATGTAGTGGGATTTTTATTAAAACACATATTTGCACGGACCAATCATCTCTTGACATAATTTTCTCTCTTAAACACAGATTTCAAGTGTGTTTGGTATTACATTTCACCAATTTCACATCAAAGCGCAACGTTTATTTTAATCAAACAGATGTTTTAGCATCGCTGACAATTCTGCTCAGTACTTAATGAAGCCAACATCTATTATTCTCCTAAAACGCTGAGTGGGATACAGCATCAAATGATCCTTTTTAAAATTCTGCAGCGATTCTAAGCTTTTAGCACGGTGTTGTCCAGCACAGTTGCTTTAGAGGTCCATGAGTGCACGTCCTCGCTTCAAAGCAGAAACTAATATGACGTTACGTTATTAATTAAGACAGAATGAAGCTTGCTTAGCCAAAACGACTCTGTAATTATAACCTTTTCACATGCAGTCTCAATAATTGAGGCTCCGGCAATGAAGTAAACCTATTTCTCGAGGCAGTTAAAATAGATCGGGGATTGATTAACAAAACAAAACAGGTTATTTTAGTGCGACGTATTACTTCATTGGGCGAACGCTCACCGTTTTGAGCCTCGTCCCCACATGTACCTCTTTCACAGAAATTATCAGAACGGCGGCGAGCGTGCGGTCTCGAGCCCCAGAAAACCTTGGCCCACATCCAAACAAAGCCGGTGGATCTATTCTTCCCCTGCCTTTCTATTTGCATATCAGAGGGCTGTTTGATGTCAATGAGGAAGAGCGGCAGCCCCCTCTGTGCCTTTAAAAAGCAAACACGGCACATGCAATATTCTGTAAGTGCATGCAAATGAAGGGGCCATTTGATTTCATTTGAATTCCGAGATGGACAGAGCGAACTGGGGAGGGGGCTGAGATGACTTTTTTTTTTTTTCAAAAAGAATTTTAAAAAAAAAGTAAAATTTTTGCATTCAGAGCTTCTGTTTTACATATGGCTTAATGTTCGTTCGTATAATGCTAAGCGGATTAGCCGCTGTATACACCTTTGGAGAGGCACTGTTTAATAAAAAAATCTAACTAATTAAAGCTCTGCAGAGCAGAAGGGCTGAGAAATCCAGCGGCGCGGTGGAGCAGACCGAAGTCGGGATATTTACGCAACCGTGCATTATGATGAATATGTCGAAGGCGTCATCATACTAATCCGTCCTGTTCCTCATTTACCGACACAATCCTTCTGCAAACGCTTTGTTTGTGCTGGGAATGATTTATGCAGGTGGAGATTTGGCAGTGAGGGGTTTTACATGCAGACCATTAAATGTGGAGCATCAGGTTGTAGATGCGAGCTGCAGGGGTTGTCAGGAGGAAACAGGATGGCTGAGCGAATCGAACGTGCGGAAGCTGTATGATTCTAATAAACAATACGATTGTTGTAACATAACCAAAGGTATCTTAAAAACGTGGTCGGGATGTAGATCATTTTACCTTCGTTCGGTCATCTAGCAGCTGGTACGGTGGGAATACTCTGAGGGAGGAAAAAGGAAACTGCTGACAAATCGGCATGTGTCCTTACCTTTATCATTTGTGAGAGGTCCCCGGCGTCTGCGAGTTCCAGTACTATATTTAGCTCATTCTCTTCAATGAATGACGCGTGGTATTTAATTACATTGGGGTGGTTCAATTGCTGTGTAGAAGAGGGACAGAGGAAAATGTCAGAATGTCAGTGACTGTTTAAATATTAACAAGACACTGTGGGTCAGGAAAGCCTGCAAATAAGACTGTGGCAGAAACCAAAGCAGATGCTTGTATGAAGGTAAACATGACATTATAGTCTGTTTGAGTTAGTCTGCTCTCTTCAAAATCAAATGACTTGAATGGAACACATTTACGACTACTGTGGTAATATCAGAAATAACAGAAAAATGGGTAACAATTAGGGATGTCAAATAAATTGTGTAGTGTTAAATTTGGTAAAAATAAATAAATAAATAATTAAATAAATATTAAGTCCAATAATGTGTGTGTGTGTGTGTGCATGCATCTGTGTGTGGGTGTGTATATATACTTACCAGTGTTAATTTAGTTGACGAATAATTTTCGTCATAATTGTCGTTTAATTACATTTTTTTCACTGATGACAACGAGACGATAACGAACTAAAACTCTTTTTGAATGACAAAAACTATGACGTAAATCTATTGACATTTTTGTCAACGAATAAAAACGAGACGAAAATGTTAGGGAGGGACAATTTGGGATGAAATTCATTCAGAACGAATCTGCTGCGTGGCTCTGAGGTTATGCGTACATATCATAGACTGTATAAAAACATGGACGTAGTGTCCGTGACATCACCCGTAGGTTCCTGAAAAGGTTTTTGAAGCTCAAAGTGGGCAGAGCCGGCCGTCGCTATTTCTTGGCAGCGCGTCACCGCGCATCACTCCCGGATAATCGAAAATGGGCAAAAAGGCGGGAGCAGGTTGCTGAAACCACGCCCACCCAGCTCGACGGTGGTGACAGCAGCGGCAATCCACCTGTCACTCAAGCGGCCACGCCCTTAATTATGCAGAACTTTAAAGCTTAATATAATTTAAACGGATGACTTATAAAAAAAAATTCACCCCCCTCACAGTTGTCATGAAGGGCAAAATTAGCTATATAGACCAAAATCATTTTTTGAACCAGGCTGTAAACATGTTTTTTTCTTCTGTAAAGTTGGGCATTTTAACATGGGAAGTCTATGGGATTGACTCCCTTTTGCAGCCAGCCTCTAGCGGCCAGTCGATGAATTACAGTTTAAGTCACTTCCTTGTTAGCATCACGAGAGAGAGCGGGAGGTTGCTGCTTGGTACATATGAACCGGCGGGACATAAGCTAAAATACACTTGCTGCATGTCGCATAAAACGTTCAAAAAATGTCAATATGTGGGAGTAAGAGAAGAGCAGACATATGGATAAATCTGACGACGCAAGAGAGAACTCAATTCGGTCCGGTTTTCTGAGCACAGACATTGAAGCATACACACACAGGAAGTGCGTCTCACAGCGCGCGAGTACTCTTTCGCGTCGCATGAACGGAGAATTACACACAAAATAATGTCGAATTGTCCGTTTTGATGAGTATTCACGTAAACGGTTGATTACATCTTAAATTAATGTAAACAGTAGGGAGACCGTGTATCAATACATTGCATCCATTGCAGCTGTGCATTCGGTTTTAAAGGGACAGCAGCCTAATTTAGTTGCTATTGTCCGAGTCATTGATGTTAATCAAGCAACAACAGAAATACAGAAAATCACGATATCATTCACACACAAATGAATAAATATTCATAAAAAATAGACAACAAAATAAATATATAATTTAATATACTTCAAATCTAAAGATAAATGATTAAATTTTATATGTATATACGATTCATTACATGTATATGATTCATTATTAAATATTATATGGTTATTATTCATACATACACATATAAAACAACAATTATAATACTATTAATAATTATATGTATATGTGTGTAGAGAAAAAAAACTATATTAAATTATTATTATTACAAATTAAGTTTAATATATATATATATATATATATATATATATACAGTGGTGTGAAAAAGTGTTAGCCCCCTTCCTGATTTCTTATTTTTTTGCATGTTTGTCACACTTTAATGTTTCAGATCATCAAACAAATTTAAATATTAGTCAAAGATAACACAAGTAAACACAACATGCAGTTTTTAAATGAAGGTAGTGTGACAAACATGCAAAAAAACAAGAAATCAGGAAGGGGGCCAACACTTTTTCACACCACTGTATATATATATATTTTTTTTACTATTATTATGTATTGCTAAATTATTAATATCATTATTTAAAAAAATACACCAATGAAAGACAACATTTCCAACTAGACATTTATTATCTACTTCTAACTACCTTCAGAAAATCTTAAAACAATTTAAGTTAGCTAAAGTTCTGAACAGTTGCTAAGCTATTGCTAAATGGTCTTCTGGGTTGTCCAAATTCAAAAAGCCCACCCTGAAGTCCCTGCATAAGACTTGGCCCGTACACTAATTTAATTTATGTCCAACAGATTTCATCATCAACCAGGCAAAATTTACATATCTGACAATAACAGCACAGCTCAAGCCGCATGCTTTGAGGTATCATTCACATATGTAGCACAAACAGTGTAAGATAAGGTTTAATACTAAGGGCAATGGGTTTGTTCACATCCCTTAAATATGAGCAATAGCATAAGTGATGCTTGTCCTAGAAAACACGGCTAATAAACAAAATAAAAACACACTGAACGCACTGCCTTCAGCTTTTCCTGTTGGTTGGTCAATGAGTTGCGATCGGTTCTTGCACTGAAAACGGCTGGGGGGGGGGGGGC